AAAAACAAATGTGTAGTTTAAGATTTAAAACTAATATATTAATATAAGTAAATTAGTAAATATGGTAAAAAAAGTAGCATTTGAAAAATATAGTAAGTACACCGAGCAACAAGAGGAGATAATGAAAGAAATAAAACAGTTAAAGGAAGAGTTGCAGAACGAAAGAAACGATGAAGAAATAATTCAAAATTGAGAAGGAGAGAGCGCACAAGACGCAAAACGTTATCTGATGAAAGAAATCATTGTTAATTATTGTCAAAAGGTTAGTAGTTTAAATTACGATTCATTTTCCCCAGAAATGGGTGTAGTAGGTGGTTTTTTGGCAAACGAAAATGACAAAAAAATTGCTGTTATTAAGACACTATTAGATAATCATCAAAAATTAAAAGAGTTTGGTTCGGCTCCCAAAAAAGAAAGCGACAGTGATTTAGTTGAGGTAGTAAGGGAAGTTTACCAAGAAAAATCAACAATAATTGATAATTCTATCCAACAATTAGAGGACGAACTCATAATATTGAATATATCAAACCAGGGTTCCCGTGAGAGAATAATGAGATTAGTTAAACAGTCGAGAGAAAACAAGATCGATTCCTCCACCGACGTCGATGCTAAGGAAGTAGAAAGACTCTGACGGGAAAACAATAGTTTGCGTTCTCAACTCGAAAAATTACAGATCGAACAAAATAGGCTAGAAATGTTGGAAGGAGAAAATTCACAATTACAAGAATTATTGAGAAAAGCGGAAGTAGAAAAAGAAAGGGATGCTAAATGGCAGGAAAAACAAATTTCTAAACTAGAAAAAGACCATGAAAAAGATCTTAAGGAAGCAAACCAGAGAGCCACCGAAGCCTTAGCGCAATTAGAGGAAAATAAAGAAAATCTAACTAATTTACGAAAAGAAGCAGCGGCGAAAGAAAGAGAAATTGCCAATCTACAAGATGACCGAGAAAGATTGGAGAAAGAAATAATCGAAAAAAACGAGAAAATTGAAAGTTTAAAAACAAGTATTAAGGAATT